AGATGTGGACTCCACTGATGCCGCCAGCACCTCTGGCTCGGCCTCCACCAGCCTCTCCTACGACTCCAGGTGAGGCCGCCCCTCGCCGTGCCTCCTCAAGCCTGGGGACCTGGCTCTCTCCGCTCGTGAGTCTGGGTCTGGGACCATCTGCTTCGGAGTCCTGGGGTTCAGACGGGGCTGCGTACGGCCATTCACGGTGCTCTGCCCCGGCTGCGGGTGATGTGACACTTGTCCCTGGGGAGTTTCCGCGCCAGGGTTCTTGGCCTCCATGGGCCACGGCTTCGCATGTCTCTGCCTCTGAGCGCAGCGCGCCCTGCTTCTTGGCTGTCTAAATCTGGGGTCTGTCTTCTGGGTCCCTAAGGAAAAGAGCCGTTGATTTGGAAGCCCGATGGAGGGGGAAATGGCATCGTGCAGGGGGTGGGGCCTGGGAGAGGGGACAGAAACACCTGGGGACCTAGACAAGGCTACCGTCTGTTTGGCAGTAGCCGGTCCTCAGCGGCGCCGGAGGCTCCTGCAGCTGCGTTCTAGGACACTCATGTCCTGGCGTCTGTCCGCCCTCAGGCCTCTCTGGGTGGCTCTCTCTGCATCACCTCTGTCTGTATTTGGTTCCTCCTGTTTCTTTGGTTCTCACAAGCTCTTCGGGGCTTGCTTCCTGTTCCTAAGCACCTGTGGACACGCACCTCTTGTTTTGTGTGTGTCCGTCTCTCCCCCAGCTCTTTCTGTCCCTCTGTGTGTGTTGCACACGCACGTCTGCCTTTCTCCAGTCCAGGCTCTGGGGACAAGGTACGGTAGTGTGTCGCTCCCATCCCCCCACCCACTGGACTCCTAGCTGCGAGTCCAGGGACAGTCCAGGGAAGGGACGAGGCAGCGCAGGCAGGGCCTCGGCAGCGGCCTTTAGCGCTGGGCACACCCAGGCTCGGGCCCTGGCGCCGTCACTCCCTCCGCGGGCCGTTTCCCCCGCTCCCCGAGCCTCCTCGGGATCGTGGTGAGGACCCAGGGAAGTGCTCCATCCCAGCGCCCGGGGCCCGGGGGGTGCTCGGGGAGAGGGGCTTGTCAGGATGACTCCACCCCACTCCTGTCGTCTTCCTTTCCCCATCCCGACGCAGACGGACGGTGGGCAGCCGCAAGAGGAAGCTGGCGGCCAAAGCGTACATGCCCCTGCGGGCAAAGCGGCGGGCAGCCGAGCTGGGTGGGCGCTGCCCCTCGGACAGCAGTGCCGAGGGGGCTTCGGGCCCTGAGCGGCCCGACGAAGGCATCGACAGCCACACCTTCGAGAGCATCAGTGAGGATGACTCGTCCTTGTCCCACCTCAAGTCATCTATCACCAACTACTTTGGCGCGGCCGGGCGGCTAGCCTGTGGGGAGAAGTACCAGGTGTTGGCCAGGAGGGTCACACCCGAGGGCAAGGTTCAGTACCTGGTGGAGTGGGAAGGGACCACCCCTTACTGACTCGCTCCAGGAGATGCCAGGAGCCTGGAGACCAACGGAGAGACACTTCTCTCCAGGTGGGGCTGGGGGAGGAAAGCAAGACAGCTCCCAGTGCTTGGCAAAAGGCCCTTCGCGCCCGCCTGCCAGGCCGAGGCCTGCGCCGCTCCGCGTGCCCATTCTGCTCTTGGGCCTCCTCAGGCTCCTCACCCCTTTGCCTGTGTCTCTAAGGTCCCACTGGCTATGCCTCAGTGTCTCCACACACTTCCGCAAACTGTTCACCTGTAACTCTGAATTGGGTGTCCCCCTGGCTCTCCGACCCTTTTTCCTGAGGCCCGAGTCTTTCTCTTTGTCTGTGTCCCTCTCTCCCCCACCCCTTTTGGGTGTGTGCGTTTACACACTTAACACGTGCATGGCTGTCCCTCTCCTGGATGTCCTTCACCCCTGACCCGTGCACAGCCAGTCGACCCCCGGATCGCATTCTAAGAACAGGAGCCGTTAAGCATTGCTGAAGGTAGAGAAGAGGACGCCTCTCAGAGCTTTTCCCCTCCCGCTTTCCTGCCATTCCCTGCTGCCCTTGGCCAGGGGTGGTGAGGGTGGGAGACTGCCTCTGTGAAAGCCTGGGAGGCAGAGAGCCTGGGACTCTTGGGATCTGAGGCCAGAAGAGGCTGGGTCTCTGCCTCCGAAGGCACCAACGACAGAGCCCAGTGACTAAGGCTAAGCGTAAGGGCTGTGGGTGTCAGCTTCCCAGGTCCCAGGAGTTATCCTCTCCCTGGCCACACCCCCTCATAGCTGCCAAGGAGCCGCGCCTGGCCTTGCTGGAATGGAAGTGGCCTGGAAAACCTGCGGGACGGGGGCGGAAGTGGGAGGAAAGGAAGCCGTGTCACGCTAACCTTCGGATGTCTCCTGTGCCTCCCACCCCCGACCCACCACACACGCAGCCAGACAGTACACACTCACACAGAAGCCCCCATCACACGTGTGCTTTCACCCTCCGGAGTACACACCACACACACCCACACCACACACCCCCACTCCCTCTGGTACCGGCCTCGCTCCTGCCCTTGGCTCTCCCTCGGCCCTCTTCAGGGCCGCGTGCTGCAACCACACGTGGAAGTCCAGCCCTTGCCCCCTTCCTTCAGCCATGAACCAGCTGTGACCCCGCGGGGAGGCACAGAGGACGCCTACCCTCTTCCTTAGCCCCTGCTGTGCCCTGAGATTGACAATCACTTTCTGGAACAGGTTGGGATTTTTAAAGGGCTTGTGTTATTCAGTCCCCTCAAAGGAAAGTCTTTGTCAGTGGGAGTAAAAATAGAATTTTTAGAACTGACATTACAACTCCTACCCATCTGGAGGAAAACCAGAAATGAGAAGGGGAGGGGACCCCTCATTTTTGCTGCTTCCAGAGATATCAGAAACTGACTCACATGATTGGAAAGTAGAAATAAGTGCCTTCACTAGGGCAGGGCCTGGGCCAGATGGGCGCCAGCCTTGCCAACCGCTGCTGCGGCCCCCAGCTTGGCTGGGTTTTGCAGGCCGCCAGCTGCAGGGCGAAGGTGGATGAACAGAGGGGTGGCATCAGGGCAGCGGGCCTGGGGAGCTGGTTTTTCCATTGCTAGGCTCAGCCCCTCCCCCCCGTGAGCATCAGGGAGTCCCTGAGATCATCCAGATGCCCCTTGCCTCAAACTTAGCTCCTATAGTGCCTTTCACACAGGACCTCACCTCCTGCACACGGCCCACCAACTTCCCTCTGCTTCCCTAGCGTGAGCCAGGCAGGGAACAGCTGGGGGTGGGCCCCGTTCTCTCCCTTCTCAGCCCCACAGCTGCTGCCACTGAAGCCCCCAACTGGGGCCAGATGGAAGGGGAGCTGAGAAGCCAGCCCCCCGCCCAGCAGGGGTGTGGGACCTGGGATCCAATCTGTGGCTTCCTGCCTGGCTTCAGAGGGTACAGCAACCCCCCAGGCCTGCTTTCTAGGGTTCTGAGAAAGCACAGGACAAGCAAGGCCTGCCACAGTTCTGCACCTGCACCTTCTCTACTCAAGCTCCAGAGAGGCTCTGGGCTTGAAGAAGGGGAAGGGGGGAAGGGGGTGTCTTCCTCACTTGGAAATTCAGCATAAGGCCTAGCAAGGCCACCTTGACTCCACATCCCAGCATTTCATTTGTACCAGTTAACAGCTGCATTACTGCCAACTGACCTTATAATAACCCTGTGCACCTTTGAAAAGATTTATGGTTTTGAATTTGCTGCTTTTAATAACATTTGTTATATTAAAGTTATAATTAATGTGTCTGGTTTATAATTTAAAAGCTCCCTTTGAAAAATTAACTATCTTCCCTCTAGTGAACGAACTATCAGCTGTTGGGCACCAGGAGGAATTATCTGGTTTCTGGTCTTGGTTTCCTGGAAACTGAGGAGGAATGACAGGACCCCATCTGGCCACCTGCCAGTCCTTCAACTGCCTCCCACATTCTCCCCCACAATACTCTCACCCTACCACCAACAGGATGTGGAATTTTTATCTGTGAGTACCTGACCCATCAGGGCAAACAGCATTAGCTCAGGGCCATGGAGAAGTAAAAGATGGGAAATGGCCTTAGAAACGGACCTTGTTAAAATACGTACAGCCACTGTAAAACTACTTAATGCACACAGGCACATAAACCTAGAAATCTGCAGTCAGTTCTAGGCCTGTCTCTGCTAGTTATAACTTACAGCACTTTGGGCAGGTTCCTTTGCATTCCTCACCCTTCCAGTGCCAGCAATAATCCCTGCTGAAGTCAGCTCCCAGGTGAAAGAGGAAACCATTTCACATATAAATGTGATGGGTTAGGACCTTAAACTTGTCTGAATTTGAGAAAAAAGTTGGCATGAAGGAATAGGAAAAAGTCAGAAATAGGTGCAGGCCACGGGTTCAAGTGGATTCTGTAATTTCAGGGGTAGAGTGTAACCTGTTAAACACCCCAGAGTGTAGCCTATTAATGTCTGCACCTAGAACTTCATTAGCTGTGGCTCCCGCTTTTTGCTACCATGCTTTCTGCTTTGGCCTTTTAACTGCCCTTAGAACAAAATCACAGTTGGAGCCAGGGTGGGGGAAGGGGGTGGGATTATTCTTTGGGCTGAAATCAATTTAATGGAATGAAAAGTGAATGGTCTGCGGTGTCAAGAGACTTGGGTTCCAGTCCAAGTTCCAAAGTGAACAGCTGTATAGACCTCCTCAGATTAGTGGTCCTTCCCAGGCTGAAGAGTGCCTGGTTCTCTGTGGTCTAGATTAGTGATTCAGATTTACAATAAATATTTACCTTTGGAGCTTAGGAACAAGAAATTAGAATTCTCAAAAATTCCCCAAATCATAAGTTATTCTTAAAATACTTAAAACATTTTTCATATTTTCCCCATTATCATAGATATCTGAAAAAATTTTAACAAATAGGAATTTTACTTAGTAGTATTTACAAAGAACTGTAGCCTATAGGGAATATTTAAACACTGGAAAATGCCGGGGAACGTTACTGGATAGCATTCAAAGAACATTCAAATATCCTAGCAAGGTTAAGAATACTACATGAAATCACATGTCGGAATTGCTCAATTAAAATTTATTTTTCTTTCAAAGCTTATTTCTTCAAACAAAGCTCACAGAATTTGTTTAATGTATACTATGTGTATAAACTTATCTGCAAAAATAACTCAGTTTGCAGCAGATAGGGCTAGACAGATGCACTTGGGACTCAGCAACAATTGCAAGCAAGACTGATTCCATGGTAATCATTTCTCTCCTGCGCACTCCTGTCCTGGTTCCCTTCAACCCTCAACTCCGCATGTTGGTGTTTCTTGCTTTTTTTATCTGATGATTTCTTCAAACCAGTTGACATCTCTATGCTTTTAAGCTTCAGTATTCACAGATAATTTTAATATTTTTTTCTCATTTCCTCAAGTGACTTTTCTGGAGATTTTGGATTCAAAAAACAGACCTTCCCTGAGAAATGCTGGGAAGGCATTCCTGCATGGAGCCGCTAGTCTAGGTCCTAGCCCAGCCCCACAGCAGCACTCTGGAGGGACAGTGTGGTCTAGGGTGAGTAAGCTGGGAGTCACGCAGACCTGAAAAATCACTCATCTCCTCTAGATCTGTTCCCTCATCTGCAGAATAAAGATCCTGTCACCAGCCTCCAGATAAGTGGGGAGAAGTAAACAATACATTTTTAAGTGTCAGATCAACTTACTGCACAGAGTTTTTTGGAACCAATACCCCTTCTTTTAGAATTGGCTACAGTAGGCTCTCAAGGTGTTTGGCCTACCAAGGGTATGTCCAACCTCTCTGAAGGAGGCAGTAAGAGCATCAGATCTAGAATTGGACACATGGGTTCACAGCCTAGTCGGCCAAGTATTTTAAGTGTCATGCTCTCTGATCTCAGGAGTCAGCTTCCAGCTGAGGAGAACAATGAGTTAGAAGATAAAATAATGTGGAGAACCTAGGAGAGCACCAGGCAGAGAGCTGGCGTTTGTCCTCCCCTCTCCCATTTCCTGTAGCCAGCTGGGACACTGAGGCAAAGGAAGTCCCCCAAGAGACAGTTTTCTGTGCAGTCAGCACAGAAAATGCCCCAATGAAGGCCAGAAATAGAAAAATCTCCTTTGGAATTAGTCCCACTTTAAGAAAGTTCCAAGAAAAAAGGCTGGACTTTGCCAATTCCATAGCTGAGTAACTGTGGGCTACAGAGAACTCTTTATTCAAATCCTTGCCCAATCCTGTGCAAGAGCTCAAACAGATTCAGACATGCCCTTGACCTCGAGTAGTTCATGATCTAGAAACAGGAGGATGACCGTGATACACAAGGATAACAGGGACACCGAGGCCAGAGAGCTTCCCTCCAAGCAGAGCTGGCCTTGCAAAGGAGCAGCCAGATTTCCCAGGCATTCATGCGGGCGGCGCTCCAGGCCGAGGGGAGGCCCGAACACAGGAATAGCTTCACACAGCCTACTGGAGACATCTCCTTGCCAGCGTGGGCAAGGACAGGTGGAAGGTGAAGATGGAAAAAGTGAGGGGAGGCAAGGCTATGAAGGGCCTTGAAGGCCAGACCAAGAAACTGGGCTCTAGGGCGCCTGGGTGGCTCAGCTGGTTAAGCGACTGCCTTCGGCTCAGGTCATGATCCCAGGGTCCTGGGATCGAGTCCCGCATCAGGCTCCCCCTGCTCTGCGGGGAGTCTGCTTCTCCCTCTGCCTCTGCCTGCCACTCCCCCTGCTTATGCTCTCTCTCTCTGTCAAATAAATAAATAAAATCTTTAAAAAAAAAAAAAAAGAAAGAAACTGGGCTCTAACCCGAAAGCAACAGAGGCAGTCCTTCTGGGGTCCCCAAAGCATTTTCCCTAGGGCTTACTTTATCCAAGATTTTCGCGTGTATCAGAAACATCTGTTGTAAAAAGGGACATCACCATTATCATTCTCTTTGTCCTTCTCCTGAGGTAACCCTCCAAAATCCCCACTGGCTATCAAAAAAGGATCCTCTGGACCTTTGGAAGAGCCTCTGCCTTAAGTCCCTACAAGAGCTTCACAGAAGGGCCCTGGGAGGGCCTCCATTTTATATTTGGAGGCACTAAGGTTTAAGAAGCACAGCTCGTGTCAGAACCAGAGCCTGGCAGTAAATACCCATCCCACATACCCTTCCCTCTGGGAAGACCTGGGATTCCACAGAGGTCTGTGGACCCCCACCCAAACTGCCCATGAGTCTCCCCAGAGCGAGGTTACCTTGTGACAGGTTCATGGAGGGGGCCTAGCTCAAGTCTTTCTTCTCACCCCAAAGGGGCTCTGCCTTCCCTGCTCTCTTCCACCTGAGACCCAGGGAGCAGGTAGAGGAGCACCAGACACAGGGTGAGTAGGCTTGGCCTTACCATCCTTAACGCAACACGCCACCCCCTTGCTGGACCTCAGTGCAGTTCAGTTTCCTTTGGTAATCTATAAAATGGAGACTGGCTTAGAACACTGGTTTACTAGCTTTTAACCAAAAAAATTAACAAAACCAAACCAAACCCAAAATCTTACAAGTGAGCTTAATACATAAAAATGGTAAAAGGTAGTTATACTGGTTGAGGTATGGGTGGGGAGCCTCATACCCTTACCCCCACCCAGGAAGCACCCAGGGTACCATCTGTCAACTTCTGAGACCCAAGGGAACAAGTCTGGAAAACACTGGTCTGGCAGTTCCCAGGGCTCTTGCCACTTTAGGATGCTCAGTTTCAATGCTCAACTGACAAGGTTAGTACCATGGGCTCAGAACCTATGTCTCCAATGAGCAAGGCACCAGAACCTTCTGATACCCATCACATTCAGGCTACAGAAGAGTCTAGACCTGCTTCTAAGCCATGAGGCTGTGTCTAATACCTAATGTTCCCCCAGTCCTACCCACACTCATGAAGCCCATTCCCACCTCCTCAGGACTCAGGAATAACAAATAGCATCTTTAGTTACAAGAAATAATCCTGCTTGTCCCTAAATTTCTACCATTAGCAATTCATCCTTTTGGATAAAGGGCTTGCCAGTTCCCCTAGAAGGCGACATTCAGCCCACACACTTCGGGTAAACAGGTCACCAGGTCCATTCCTCCTCATGAGAAGCAGAAGAGTAATTACATCCTGGGCACTCGAGGTAGGCCCAGTGACTGAAGGAGCAGATGACAAACCTCACCCTCACTGCCACCTCCCCTTGGCCTCCCCACATAACCATCCTCGCCCTCCCACCCCCTGGCCACCTTTAAGCCTGAAGCACTCGAGACAAATTCCACCGGGTTCTTGGTTGGCCCGACCAACCCAGCCTCTTCTTCCAGCCTCAGGGGCTCAGACCTTCAGCCTCTCAAGTTCCTTAGCTCTTCCGTGATGTAATGACACAGAATCCAGAGGTGCCAGGAAACAGAGAGAGACCCCCCTTCCCTAGAGGCAGCCATCAGGAGACACAAAAGCCTCCCCCCGCCCCTGCCCCAAATCAGTCCTCCTCCATGCCCTCCTCCAGCCACTTGAAATAGTGGACATCTCCTTGGTCCATGGGAAGACTGAAGACTTCTGGGATTTCAAAAGGATGCACCAACCTTTGGAAAGAAAGCAGAGCCCTGTAAGTGATGAGGGTTAGAACCAGTCTATGCAATTAGACCCAACTGGAAAGTGTCACCTGAGCTGCCCTGCGATCTGCCGTAGCCCATCTTGTCCAGCGCAGTGGCCCACCGCTTCTGAGCCTGTTTCCCACCTGTCAACAAGTGGGGAGTTGGGCCAGATGGCTTTAGTCTCACAGTCATGGGTTCAAATTCTAAGTCTGCCCCTCCTCATAGCTATGGAACTATGGACAGGTCACTTTGTTTCTCCAAAGGCCCTACAAAAGAGGGGATAAAAATAGTTCCTCCGCGACTGGACTGCCAAGGATTAAATGCAATGAGACACATGAAGCGCTTACCTGGTATACTGACCAGCCTTGTGTGCCCTCGTTAAATGTCACTTACTATCTTCATTACTATCCCACACTCATCACTGTGCCTTCCCCAAACAAGCCCCACCCCCCCATACCTCCGGATTCTCTTGTCCATCTATAAAGTTCTCCGTTGATCACTTAAAAGCTTATCTATCCCTCAAGTCCCAACTCAACCACTGACCTTCTCCAAGGGATCTTCCTCGACTATCCAAAGCCACAGGGATCTCTCCCTTCTCTCCATTTCTTTCACCTGGCCCTCAGCACACAAGGCAGATATGTGAGGCCTTGGGCCTCAGTTCCCCATCTGTCAAATGGGGTGATAATCCCTGCTTCCTTTCCAGTGAAAGAGGCACGGTCAAGTTCTCATGAGATAGCATCCTTAGTAATCATGGCACATGCACAGGTGCTTAAACATTTGGGAGTTGGGGTAATTTTATCCAATGACTCAAGACAGTGAATTTTCTTATTTTAGGGACACACGTCAGTGTACGTATTTGTTTGTTTTATTTTGGGGGGGTGAGGGGCAGAGAGAGAGGGAGAGAGAAAATCTTAAGCAGGCTCCATGCCTAGCGCAGAGCCTGACATGGAGCTCAATCCCAGGATCCTGAGATCATGACCTGAGTTGAAATCAAGAGCTGGATGCTTAACCAACCAAGCCACCAGGTATACCTATTATTATTTTAAAAGAACTAAAATATTTTTTTAATTTATCAGTTTTAATTTCTTTTTTTTTTTTTTTTTTATCTGAGAGAGAGAATGGGAGACAGAGAGCATGAGAGGGGGAGGATCAGAGGGAGAAGCAGACTCCCTGCTGAGCAGGGAGCCCGATGCAGGACTCGATCCCGGGACTCCAAGATCATGATCTGAGCCGAAGGCAGTTGCTTAACCAACTGAGCCACCCAGGCGCCCCAGTTTTAATTTCTAACACAATAAACTTTAATATAACCCATGCAAACAAAGCTCCTCTGGCCCCCCGATAATTTTTAAACGTGTAAAGGGATCCTGAGACTAAAATTTTGAGAACCATTGTCAACAAACTCATTCTAGCCTCTCATTTTACAGATGAAGAATCTGAGGGGCAAGGATGTGCCGAGGGTCATGTGGGAGGTTGGTGACTAGGCTCTAGTCTCCTGATTTTCAAGCTTATTCACTTAGTCCCTAGTACGTCCCTGCCTGAGAAGAGATGCCAACATTACCTGATATAGCTGGATAGCACGTGGACCTTGGAAGTCTTTGTCTTTATTAGCTGTAAAGGAAAAAAAAAAAAAAATCCCTGCTTTAGGGAGGACCTCAGGCCCAGTTGGGCAGCTACTGATTCATCTGGCCACTCAGGAAACAGCATTCCTACAGGTGACCAGGCACTGGTGCATTCACAAATTAGCCTAGGGCATCTGATGTGGGGCAAGAACCTCAATCGGTTGATCTTTGCTCAATTTTCCTTGGAACCTGGGAAAAGGCCTTGGTCTCACTCTTCCTCTATCAAGGCCCCAACCCCCCCATCCTCACTCACCAACAGGATTTCAGTGGCTTCTTCGATTTCTCCATTCCAAAAGTACCTAGAAGAAGAGAACAAAAGCAAATTATTATGCTCACAAGATGAGCCCAGTGAGATGCCTGACCTGGCCCAGTCAGGTGACTTACCAAGGTAGAAACTTTAAAATCTTTCCAAGCCCACATAAAAATATCTGGAATTGGCCAAGTCCCCAAAGGTCATCTAGTCCAACCATTCTAATGAATGCTTCTAGCAGCTGCCTAAACGTTCCTGGGGGTGAGAGGTTCACCATCTCTTGAAGAAGTCCATCGATCTACCTTACAGGCTAGAAAACATGAGACGGTTTTCTTTATGGCATGCCAACATCTGCCACCCAGTCGTTTTCTCCAACTTCCATATGAAGAGCCACCTCAGGGCAGCCCTGCAGAAACTCTTACGTTTTCTCTCCTCCAAACTGGGCATCTCCAGCTCTTTCGGATTTTATTTATCTTAATAAGAGAGAGTCTCAAACACACTTTGCACTAAGCATGGAACCTGACGTAGGGCTCGATCTCACGACCCTGAGATCACGACCTCAGCCGAAACCAAGAGTTGGACACTTACCCGACTGTGCCACCCAGGCACCCCTTCAGCTCTTTCTATGCTCATCCCATACTCCTGGCTTCTAGGCCCCTCCCATCCTTTGGACTACTGATACTTTTATTATTGACTCTCAAAGTGGAGTGCCCACAAATGGATAATCAAAAAAGCACAGGAGACTTCAGGGAAAGTGAGCCTTATAACATATGAAAACAGGTCCAAAAGTTAAAAAACAAAGTCAGTAATGAAGTTCAGAAAAGAGTCCAAAAACAGTATCAATGGAAGGGAAAGAAAGTTGGCCTGAAAATATCTATACTGACTCAGGGCAAGTCTAAGATGACCTAGACCACTGGTGCTATGGTGAAGGGGTCAATTATAAAAAGGATGGACATATGAAGGGAATGTGAGGCTGAAATTCTGTTCTAGTTCCCAAGCACTGGTTCCCAGACAGGCTTTATGTGAATCACCTACACAATTTTTTAAAAATTCAGTGACCCGAGCCCCACTCTCAGGGAGAATGATAGAGCAGATCTAGAATGGTGCTCAGGACTCTAAAACACAGCCAAATTTGGGAGCTATAGCTATAGATGATGTGAGTCCTGAGGGGATGACATCGTTGGGGGAGGGGTGTGGAGGGAGCTTCCATTATAGAGCACTTTTCTGTTTTGACCTTCACAGTAGATATTCTCTCTCCTCACCCACCCTCCCTCCCCCCACCCAACCAGGGGAAGAAGGAGATGAGAAACAGGCTAGGATGGGAGAGATTAAGGCACAAGACAAATCCTGCACAGCTAGTACTGGGATGCTGACATATTTTTATGAGGGAAATGGAAAGACCAGAATTAACTCAAGTGAGGGTGTTAAAAAAATGAAAGGCAAACAACCCAGAAACAGCTTGTCACATAAGCCAACCCCTCAAAGTTTTCCAGAGAATTCAAAAGCAGTGGGAATTATTTTCTTTGATATCCCTAACAGGCTTACTCAGGGATGGAATGCCCAGTCGGACTTCTTTGCTAACAGCAAGCTAACTAATTAAAACAAAGAATGTGCAAACAAGATTCGCTTTTTCTGAACTAGGTCTTTTTCCTCCCTTCTCCATACACAGCCTATTTTTGCTTTTGTTGGTTGACAGAAATCCACTAGGTGACTTCCTCCGAATACAAATTAACAATGAAGTGTTCATTAAACAAATACCCAGCAGTTGAGTGCTCTTTCCACCAGCCAGGACCTGACCTAGCACCCCCACACCCTTCTACAGGCCACAGCAAAACTCACAGTGAGGATGCCTTGGGCAGGATGTTCACAGAGGCAGCCAGCTTCTTATCCAGGCTAGCCCTAAAGCAAACAGACAGAGTCACCGTCACCAAGGTAAGTACCCAACATCTTAAGAAAAGGGACAAGGGACAGGAGTTCTTGGGAATTACTCTGGTTTCCTGAGAACCATTTAGAGCAACCCTTCCCCCTCAAGCCAACACATTCCATAACCAGCATGCACACCACAGAACTTCTAAAGACAGCGCAGTTTATAAATCCTTCCCTGGGTGGGGAGGAAAGGAAGGAAGTAGCTATGGCAAGGCAGTTTTAAGGACAGGCCCAGTCTGTTTGGGGAAGGGAAACTGATTAACACTGGACACAAGACCTGGATTCCATTTCCGACCTTGCACGTGACTTTAACCATGTTCTTTCTTTCATTCTTAGAATAAGTATTTGAGCCCCTACCCAAGATAGGCATGTCCCCCTCACTAAAGCTGACTCTCCTGTACAATAACAGGATCAGTTCGTCAGCAGTTTCCAACCCTTCCACCATCATTTTAGTCTATCACCATCTTCTGCTGTTATCTCTTGGGTATGTGTCGGGCTGACACTCACTGCTTCTGATCTATAGATACCCACGTGACCACACAGAACAGCTATAAGTCCAAGTAAAAGCAAAAAAAAAAAAAAAAAAAAAAAAAAAAATCATACCCTGTGTTTGGCAAATATAGGCTCTTTTCACCTTTTTTATGTAAAGGTTTCCACCACAGCTCTAAGAGCACAGCCATCACTTTGCAGACCTCTAAGATTTTTTGGGCAGACCACAGCTTGGAGCTCCTGGTCTGACGTTCTGATTCCTGTGCAGAGCCCCGGGGAACACAGAATTAGTGCAGGTGTCACAGAAATGGGGGCACCACCAAATCATCGATGCAAAGAAGCATTCCCAAGCAACAAACCGGAAGCCCTCAGAATCAGGCCGGCCCTGACAAACCTTTCTCAGGTCTCAGGCCGCCAAGCGGGGGCTGGTCTCTGTGCTCTGAAGTGCTTGGACCCTGCCAGATCAACCTCATCTGAGCCCTACACACCGATCCCTCCTGCCCTCAGCTGCTGCCAAGAGAACTGACCTACTTTCTCTTCCAGTTCCAGGTTCAACAGTACTCTTTTTAAGGCTCCACATTAATGTGGCATTCCCTTGGAAAGTTCCAGAGCTAAATAAGTCCCTGACTGTAAGGAGAGGCACATGGCACAAATCTGTTTAAGCAACCATGGCAAGTCTTATTCAATTGTCCACTGAGAAATGACATTTTATTGCTCCTGAAGGTGGCAAGGAAACACAAGGAGTGAGTTAAACCTTTAAAAAAAATAATCCCATTGTCTCAAAGGCCTAGAATGTAAACTCCTCAGTGACTGATCACAGCAACCTGTCCATAGGTAAAACACTGTAGAAATATGGAGGACTGTGTTATTCAAAATGACCCTATAGCCAAAAAAAACCCCAAACAAAAACAAAAACACAACCAGAGAGCGTGAAAGCAAAAGAGAGCACATCAGCTGACTGACACACAGGCTCATCTGAGGAGAGCAGAGGACAGAGACACATAGAGCTCTTAGGGCCTTGAGAAACTGCCAAATTCACAGACTAGTGAATCACAGACCACAGACATGGTTTGGCTCTTACAGAATATTTTTAAATTTTTAAAGGTTTTATTTATTTATTCATGAGAGACAGAGAGAGAGAGAGAGACAGAGGCAGAGGGAGAAGCAGGCTCCCCACGAAGCAGGGAGCCTGACGCGGGACTCGATCCCAGGACCCTGGGATCATGACCCGAGTTGAAGGCAGATGCCCAACTGACTGAGCCACCCAGGCATCCCCAGAATTTTTAAAAATTTTGACTCTGTTACTAATATTTATTATTAGGATATTTCACACTCAAAAAATCAGATTATCTATCTTCTCACCAGAAAGTAAGCCTGGTAACATTAGAACTACAGTCTGACAAGGTCACGTTTAGCTAGAGCTGAGCAGTGGCTACTCCCTTGAGGCGTGACATCCGCTTCTCAGGTCCACACAGTTCCCACTGCTCTTCTTCCTCCCAACACACAGGGAGAGTCAGGGCTGCTATCCACCATCACCTGCCCTCATGACACTCCAGCCCACTTTGCTCATTTAGGGGCCTGCCTGTAGGTATCTGTGTTTGCGCCCGGATCTAATCCATTTCCCTCTATATACAGGAGATGGAAGCCCAGGGAAGGAAGACTTGCCTAAGGTCCTATGTGGAGTTGGCAGCAAAGAGGACACTAGAATCAGGTCTTCTGATTCAACACTCAGGATTTTCACCCCGGCCCCAATAAGAAATGTTTCTAGGTAATTTTTCTAGCTAAGGATGTGTCTTTCAATGAAGAGATCTAAGAACCTGCCAGGAACCAGAACTGAACTGACCCAGAATTGAGAGGCAGCAGACTAATCTCTAAAGAACACTACAGAAGACAGACCACTAGCCCAGAGCTAAGGGACCTGGCCTCAGTGCTGGTTCTGTAGCTAAGCTTGGGTTCCTGCCTGCTCCTGTTCATGCGGCCCTCCCCATCATGTACCATTTACTCTCCTTCTATAAACTCTGGCAACTAAACCTGTCTGCCTCTTTTCTCTCGAAACCATTAATAAAAACTACGAAACAAATTAGGTTGAGTGAGAGCCCCACAGCCATATTCCCTAAAGGCTCCACTTCAGACCTGCAGGTCAAGTGGGTGGACTAACAAACCGTAGAGACAACAGGAAATGCTCATTACTCAGCCCTGCCAGCACCCAGTAAGAACGTGTTACGTACCAGCAACTACGAGGAAGCCCCAAAGGAGAAAAGGCCACCCTGAGACATGAGTGGGTGCAGGCAGGGGAACTGCCACAGAAGATGAGAGCAACAGTCCCTGTCTGGAGGCCACGGGGGAACCAGAGCAGGCAGGAACATGGAGGCAACCATCCAGGTGAGTAGCTGGGATGTCACGGCAGGAGCAGGTGGACCCCTGGAATCTCCCAGGGCCCAGGCACAAGTGATGGAGTGCTTGTCGCCAGGCAGGAGCGCTAAATGTGCCAGGAGAGCCATCACGAGGGCCCCCAGCCCCCACTCACTGAAAACAGTGCTGCATAATGCCAATTCCTGGCAGCCCTTCTGCACCCCCCCCCCCCCCCAACAAACGTGACTAAAAAGATGAGAGAGGTCCCGGGCGCCTGGGTTGCTCAGTTGGTTAAGCGACTGCCTTCGGCTCAGGTCGTGATCCTGGAGTCGCGGGATCGAGTCCCTCATCGGGCTCCCTGCTCAGCGGGGGGGTCTGCTTCTCCCTCTGACCCTCTTCCCTCTCGTGCTCTCTCATTCTCTCTCTCTCAAATAAATAAATAAAATCTTTAAAAAAAAAAAAAAAAGATGAGAGAGGTCCCAATTAATCCCAAGTAACTGAGGAAGGTCAATAACCAAGAGAGACAAAACTGAACGAACAGAAGAATTTACACAAGAGAATCAGTTAATAGAACTTTCAAAACCAAGCTTTTAAAATAAGTATAATTATATATACTTGAAAGTTGCTGAGAGCAAATCTTCAAAGTTTTCACCACACACACATAAACTATGTGAGGTCATGGATGTGGTAACTAACCTTACTGTGGTACTCATTTAGCAATATGTATTTATATAAAGTATCAAGTGGTACACCTTAAATTTACACAATGTTATATATGTCAATAATTGGTCAATAAAATTGGAAAAAAATTTAAAATATATTAAGTATAATTAATATCTACAGAGATAAGGCAAAGTTATTGCATCCATAAAATATGATCAATTATGAAATAAGAGCAGTTGGTTATTAAAAATAATTAGAAATCTTGAAAAGTAAAACTATTAAAAAACTATTTTTAAAAAACTATAATTGTTTAAACAAAAAACCAGGAGGGCTGAATAGCAAAAGAGCTGAGAAACAAAGAAGAGAGAAGAATGCTCCAAAATCTCCCAGCATGTAGAATAAAGAAACAGAAAAATATAAAAGTTCAGTCCCAGAGAACAAACTCAACATCTACCTAACTAGGAGCTCCAGGAAACGGACACAGAAAGAATAGAGAAAGAATATTTACCAAATGAATAGTTGAACATTAAGATAGAGAGAAACTCCTAAAATCAGAGACCAAAAGCATTACCTACAAAGAACGAGACTCAACAAACACCTGACTTCTCAACAGAACCTTGGATGCAAGAAGTCAACAGAGACCGCTCCCCAAGCATACATGGATCCATTTACTGAACTGGCCTTTCGACTAGCTAGGACCCAGGAGTTAGAGTCCTTGTCCTCCCAATACCCCACCTCACAGATGTGAGCTGACACTGTTCCCTGACAGGACTCAGAGCAGCTGATTCAAACAGTTTAGCACATACCCTAGGTACACCAGAAGCTTTAAAGGGATTTCAATTCCTAGCTGCTAAATATTATGGTCGTATTTCTGGAGTAATCATGGGTTCTTTCAGGCAAGTGCTAGTCTCCAAATGTAACATTGTGTAATGGGGAAAACATAGACATTCTGGTTGGGGGAAGAAAAATGGAATAAATTGCAAGGTTAATCTGTGACCAAGAATTTGGAAGCTGTTGTGTCCCTAAAGACCAGATTCAACATTTTAAAACACTGTAACTTAGTCTATCAATTTCAAGATGGCTGAGTTTATAGAGTAAGCCAGTCCATCGCCCTCCAGACCCATTAACCCTCTTCAAAGTCACAGCTATAAAAAGGAGTGATGGGGGACATTCAGATACAACAAACATTTACTGAGCATCTGCTATGTCCACTTTACTGGGGTAAGAACTGTACATATTTCCTATCGTTTAACCCTCACAAGGGTCCTGTGAGGTAAGTGGCATTATCCTATGCTATAACTCAGAAAACTAATGCTTTGAGAAAGAAAGCGACTTGCCCAGGGTCACACAGTTACTGACGTGGCACAGCCAAGATTCAAACCCTGGTCTGATTGTAAGTCCAGTGCTCTTTGTACCACACCATAGCTGCTTTTAAAGAAATTTGCCAAATACTGGGATGCCCGGGTGGCTCGGTCGTTAAGCGTCTGCCTTCAGCTCAGGTCATAATCCCAGGGTCCTGGGATCAAGCCCCGCATCAGGCTCCCTGCTCAACGGGAAACCTACTTCTCCCTCTCCCACTCCCCCTGCTTGTGTTCCCTCTCTTGCTCGCTCTCTCTCTCTCTGTGTCAAATAAATAAATAAAATCTTAAAAAAAAGAAAGAAATTTGCCAAATACTGGGGCGCCCAGGTGGCTCAGTCAGTTGATCATCCAACTCTTCATTTCGACTCAGGTTATGATCTTGGGGATGTGGGATCAAGCCCCACCATTTGGCTCCATGCTCACTGGGGAGTCTGCCTGGGATTCTTTCTCTCTCCCTCTGTCCCTCCCCCTGCTCGTACACTCTTCTTTCTCTGTCTCTCTCTAAAATAAACAAATCTTGAAGGAAGGAAGGAAGGAAAGAAGGGAGGGAGGGAGGGAGGGAGGAGGGGGAGAGGAGGAGAGGGGGAGAGAGAGAGAGAGAGAAAGAGAAAAAGAAAGAAAGAAAAGAAAGAAAGAAATTTGCTAAATATGTGGAATGGCCTCCTCCTCCTCACTTGCCATGGTGAACACCTCTAGGAGTAAGCTAAGAGAATATCTCTAAGAAGAAAAAGAGCTGAGCCAAGTATTAGAAGACTTAAATTCTCAGCCTGCAGAGTTCCCTTGTCCTCTGACCTTAACACCTTGGGCAAGCCACCTAGCTCTCTGGGCCTCATATCCCTTAAACGCTCCCATGCACCACTCAACATTTTCAGGCCCAGCAGCAGGATCTGTCGGGGGATCATACAGCCATGCTTCTCTTATCACCTCAAGCAGATAGCTGTGTAGTGGACATAGTGGAGTATCCCGATAGCTCCCCCAGCGTCCTGGGGCAGCACCTAAGCCCCTTCACCGTACCTGGCAATATCTCTGGCAATTTGCTCATTGGGACAGTTGACAAAGACGATGGAGTAAGTGCCGGAAACATAGCTGCCGGTGACAGCTGAATGGAGCCGCAGGCTAAGGGTCCTGAATATGGGGTATGACAGGAAAGAAGCTGTCAGGATCTACATGGTAGGGAAAAAAAAGCACAGGTCAGCAGTGACATGGCCAATTCACGATCTGCCAGCTCAAGCAAATTGTAACCAAGGCTAAGCATCATTTTTTCATCCCCATTCCCCATCCACAAAATAATTCCTGGTATCTGTATTGAGCTTTAGTGCTTAAGTTTTTGTGCCTAAATATTTTCCTCTGCATTTTGCAGGTGATAAAAAAAATGGAGGCTCAGAAATCAAGATCACATAGCTTGTAATTGGTGAAGCCAAGATTAGGAATTGTCATCTGGATGAGCAGAAATCCATTCTGATTGTATAAAACTGCTATTGGAGGTAATGCCAACTGGAATCCACTGAACTACTATCATCCTATGGGGATTATTTATGAATGATCTACTGATGTCGTAGAGAGTTAATTTCACCTCCATTCATTTGTGTCTGTGCAGGCACTGTGGGTAGTCCAGTGGAAAAGGTAGCCTAATTCAAAGTAATGTGACCTGTGTTGTTGTAACTGAGAGGTGGTAGGACCTAGAGGAAGGTTGTACCTGAGGGAGCAGAAGAGGCTTCAAAGGGAAGGTACCGTCTAAGTTGGATCTGAAATCCTAAGTAAGTTTACAAGAGGAGAGGGAGGTACTCCTAGTAAACGTTAATATGTACAAACTCAAGAGGTATTATGGGATAGATGAGATCTCCAATCTGCAGGTATGATATCAAGAGGAAATGAGACTGGCTAGCCTTATAAAGAGAAGGCTCAGTCAGAGGAGTTTGGGGTTTGTACTCATGGGATAGGGTGCCGTCGGAGGTTTTTAGGTAGGAGAGTAATAAACGTGGTCAAGTTGGGAAGAATAACAGAGAGAGGAGTGACCAGAAGGCCGTCTACTTAAAAGGCCACTACAATGATCTAGGTAACAGACCTTAAAATCTTGAGCAAAGAAGATGGCAGTGACAATGTGAGAGCAAAAGACACTCAAGATACAATTGTTCTTACTATTTTAATGATAAACATTTAAAATAAGAGGAACTGGAAACAACTGGAGAACGGCTTCCATTCCAGGGCTCTCTGCTTGGGGGAGATCATGGAGCCATTAACAGGATAGAGGCGACTTGAAAGGAGGCCCGCAGTGACTCAGGCAAGGCTGAACAGAAGTGCGCTTCTCCTGCCTCCCAGCCCAGGGCTCAGGCCTCACTCAAATAAGCCTCTGTCCTTCCACTCCTTCCACAGTATTGCCTGGAGCCTGGCTCCTACTTCTTGGCAGGGCCTGAGCAGCGTTTTTAATGTTTGGAGTTTCAGTTTGACTAGAGGCCTGTCTGGGTTGGGTTCCTCAATCCCTCCTACCACCTCCGCCAACACCTCCAAATCAAAATACCAGTCCTCTGAACTAAACCAGTGACCACACAAGAACAAAAGAACCAGGCTTCTCAGTGAAGCTTTTATTGCACGTGTGTGTTTTTTAATGACAACTCAACTAGACTGTAAGAAAAAAGTAAAAGCACTAGAGAGCAGGATTTAAATCCTAGTGCCAGTACTGCTCACTGCCTGTGGCCTTCGACAAGTTACCTCCTCTCCCTTCCGTAACTGTTCCTTAGAGAATGCAGATTCTGACACTTCTACTGCCTATCTCAGAGTTGCCATGGGTTCAAACCGGATAGGAAAAAGACTTTGTAATCACTGATCCGATAAAGAAAGGCACCGTGCTTTGCTCATCACTGTACCCCCCCACACAGTTCATGGCACGCAGAAGGTTCACAATAAATACTTGTAAACTAGTGAATTAATAATTACACCAGCAAGATGTGGTTATTAAGACTAAATAGTGGGGACATCTGGGTGGCTCAATCGGTTAAGTGTCTGCCTTTGGCTCAGGTCATGATCCCAGGGTCCTGGGATCAAGTCCCACATTGGGCTCTCTGCTCAGTGGGGAGCCTAGAGCCTGTTTCTCCTTCTCCCTCTGCCTGCCGCTCTGTCTACTTGTGTGCTCTCTGTCAAATAAATAAATAAAATCTTAAAAAAAAAAAGACTAAATAGTGAAGTAGATAGGGCTTTTGAGTCACCAGCTTTGGCTTTGACCAGAGAACTGGATATACTAAAACACTGTAAGGCTCCAATGACTCTAAAGTGGCTTCCAGCACAGAATCTAGACAAAAGGGGTAGTGGCCTGTCCCCCAACCAAAAAAGCCATCCCTAGGGAAGATCTGGAACATTTCAGCCAGTAGGTATCAGTGGGAAACTGCACTTACAGGATTAACTATAAACTCACCTAAAATGTATTGAAACTCTCATATGAACTCATAGTCAAAATGCTAAGAGGTAAATGGGCCCTCAGGTATCTAAGATAACCCATCATTTCACAAACAAGGTAACAGACAGAACATACAGAAACTGTGATAGAACCAAGACTAATCCAAGACTCCTGCATCCCACTGTGGGTTCTTTGAACTGCAGTGAGCATGCCTAGGAATGGGTTTAGTGGGGTCATTTCAGCTTCACATACTCCAGTGGTTCTCAACTCAGAGGAATTTTGCCCCCGGGGGGACATCTGACAACGTCTAGAGACAATTCTGACTGTCATGACTGGGGAGGAGATGCTCTTGGCATCTAGTAGGTAGGTAGAGGCCAGAGTTGCTGCTCACATCCTTCTGTTGTTCCACTGATCACAGTGAAGGACAGACAGCTGTTTACACATGTCTCCCCCACTGGGCATGAGCTCTACAGTCTCATTCATTTTCACACGTGCAGGACTTTACCACCCTTGACAGGGAGATTTGAGAAATGTTTGTGGACCTAGCCACAATGTGTTGGAAGCATGAGAGGACAGTTTGGAACCAAGGGTGGACTACAATATATTCATTCTATGACATATTCTGTGACATTCTATGAATGCAAAATTGACAGAAAATACACACATCAGAATATTCCCCAATAGAAATATTATAATGGAAAAAAGATTCACTATAATTTTTAAAGTCTTTATACCATTTTCATACTTACCTTTCACTAAACACTTTTTCTAATTTTACATTCTTTTAAAATATTTTATGTATCCCTTTGGTTCATATTTCATTCTGCCATTTTTTTTTTGTCCTGGAATATTTACATAGCTTTGAAGAGGTTATGATTGACTTTACAACCTGTGTTAAGGCAGAAGGGGCCTCAGAAGCCACCCAGTGGTTCTAAGCTTGTAATCGACCTAATTTTAAGGAACCTGTGATACTCTGGAATTGAGTGCTACATTGTGTTTAGCCATACATTTTCCTCGTACAAATCCACAATTTTCACACACACACACACACACACACAAATCAAGAAAATCTACAGTTCCAAAAAGGTTAAGAGCCACTGATTTGTGCCAGTTTTTCAGATGAGCAATGTAACGGCCACAGAGAAGAAATCACCCAAAAAGTGAGCAAGACTTCTGACCGTCTCCTACAGTTCTTTCCACCGCCCCTTCAAACACCACCACCACACCACTGGTGGTGCTCTGTGGCCACTTCCAACCTTAACATTTGAAGATATTTCAGAGATAAGAAAACCAAACTCTTCTTCAAATGCAAAAAAAAAAACCCAAACAAACAAACAAAACAAACAAAAAACGAGATGGTGACCGCAAGAGAAAGGTTAAAAGAATCTACCATGTGACCCCTAGATCAGAACTCACCAGCAGACAGCCCATCACCTCCCCGGACAACCCTGGCAATGAAACGCAGCCCAGTCCTTCCTCCTCACAAAATGGGGAGTGAGGCATTGCTGGTAATCTTCAGAAGCATGCTATACACTCTCCAGGACACCGGTGGGGGGGCGGGGTTGGAAGGGGTCGTGTGTCTCGGGGGATTCCCCCTTCCACCTCCTACCTGCCTGCTCCCAGCTCAAAATCCCAGGAGCAGAAAAAAGAAACACACCTTCTCCCCTCAATTCCCCAGGTTGGAGGTCTAGGGGTGAGAGAGTTCACAGAGCCGTAGCATGGGACACTCACCAGGAAGCATATGAGGACAGAGGGCCGCAGACAGCCTGGCAGAGGGCACCGAGCGCCCAGCCTGTCCATGGCGTCACTGGTAATTCAGTAGCACAGCTGTAGCAAACTGCAGCCTCGGGCTGAGCTGCAACCTGATGGGCGGGCACTGAGGGCCTACACTGCCCTATCCCCTCACCACCTGCTGCCTGCCCCACTGCCCAGCCAGGCCCCAGCCAGGCTGGCGGGGAGGACAAAGTGCAGGGGGAGGGGGCAGGGAAAGAGGGAGTAATTCTCACTAGGCAATTCTCTTCCTAGAAACAAAAAACCCAGACACCATATGCTGACCTACAACCCCTCCAAAAATAAAAATACTAATTTTCCCTTCCCATTCTAACAACAAAAAAAATGATAAAATCCCCACATGTACAGATAAAGAGATCTAAGTTTCTTAGATATATAAAACTTCCAGAAACCACGGCACACAAACACTAATACACACACACAAAACTCTTCCACTTTATAGGGGTCCATCCTGCCTACAAAAACAAGTGAAGCACACATACATACATGCGTGCGCACACCCACACACACCCCTACCTTCCCATCCCCCCACAGCACCTCCTCCTCCCAGGATCTCACATCTAATTCTCCTTGGCTTAAACCTACGAACTCACTCATCTTTCTAGACCAGCCGCTCCGTGAAGCTTTTTGCAGGGTTAGTCCCACAGTCCTCTATTTCCCCTAAGGCACTTCGTACACACTTGTGTTGCAGCATTCGACATCATCAACTATGGGGAGCTGCAAACAAGTAAGAAGAGCAGCAAGCTAATGACTGACTGCTGCCCTTCGGGGATGCAGAGTCCACTGATGCCAGGGTGTGCAATTTTTTAATCCAGCTTTTTATGTGAAATATCTTAATTTTTAAATGATATCTCTGGGGCAGGGGAAAGGACTGAGTACACAAGGCCACAAGTAAACTTTCTTAAGGAAACTGTTCTATATCTGGATTGTGGTAGTGGTTACACAAGCGTTTAAAAAAATTCAACAAAATTCAACATACGCTTATGTTGGTGAATTCTATATTGTATGTAAACAGTACCTTAGCAAGCCGGGGAAATGCTGGAAACCAATTCAGAATTGTTGTATGCTGGGTAAACCAAACAAAACACATCTGCTAGCCAAATCTGGCTTGCAGGCTGCCAGTTCACAGTCTTTGTGTTTAATTATCTGTTTACTGTCTGTCTCATTCCTTGGGACTCTTAAGTTCTTAAAGGCCCACATTTCTCACCAGTGTCTGACAAAGTAGTTAATAATCCAGTTGTAGCCCTGGCCTTATCATTTACATAGTTAGCTGTGAAGACTTATGCCAATTACATAAACTCTTTGAGCTCTGGGGTGGGGGGGGGGGGGGGACGACGGTGGTGTTGGTAAAGGAAGGGCTAATGCCACCTTCGGGGGGCGGGGGCGGGATTAACAAAGAATACTGATGGTAAGAATGTTGTAGAAAACGTAAGACCATGTCAGCTTTTCAAAAGAAAGTAGTCTCAGGACTCCTGGCCGGCTCAGTGGCAGAGCATGTGACTCTTGATCTCAGGGTTGTGAGTTTGAGCCCCACATTGGGTGTAGAGATTACTTAAAAATAAAACCTTTAAACAAACAAACAAACAAAATCCAGAAGCAAGTAATCTCATACTGACTACCAGGGTTAACTCAGAAAATCTCCATTTGTGATTGAAGAACTTAGTATCTGTGGAAAAACTGGCTTAGAGAAAATGAAGCTGTGGTCCTAAGAAAACCTTTATATCCAAAGTCCAGTAAAATAAGTCAAGACTGTGATCTTTTATACCTATTACATTAATAAGAAATGTAGCCACTGTTAATGACTATTTACCTTAGATCCCGAGATGATTTCCTGAGATGATGTCCCCAATTTTAGCACAGGACCCCACACAGCTTATGCTCAGTAACTGTTTGTTGAATGACTAAATGATACGGATGTGTGGCTGGTGATGATAAGGATGGTCATGATGAAGGGAGATGTTGGGGCAACAGGGGAAAAATGGCAAGAGATGAACTGTCATTTGGAAGGAACTGCCTCTGGATTCTCTTCCTTTAACTCAGGCACATCTACTCTCTCCAGATTCAATTCCAAGGTTAGATTCCAAAAGTCCAATTCTGCATTTATGGCTTTGGCAGATTCTTCAGATATAGTGAGAGTCTCAGTGCCACTGCTTGAGGGTCCAGGATCTTCTTCTGGAGGCTTCTTGTCCTCTTTCCTTCTCTCTACCTGCTCCTCCTTATGGGATTCAGATTCGGATTTAGACTCGGATTCAGATTCAGACTCCCCTTCGGACTCTGATTCTGTATCCATCTTCTTCATCCACACTACTTCCTCTTTGTTTGTGTCTTTTTCTTTCTTCAACTCCTTTGCTTTATTTTGAAGGTTCTTCTGTACCTCTTTATAGGTATATAACAATTTATTGAAGTCTTTTTTAAAGGCCAAACTTCGGTCCAGGAAAGGATCCATATCAATTGCAGCATCAATGAGGTCTGAGGCCTGGCGTAAGACAGCATTCAATTTCCTTAAATTCATCTTTACCTCTGGTTCCGGGGACTTGTCTTCTTCCGTACTTATTGATACAGACTCTCTCTCAGTTATGGCCAAAGCCTGAAACTTGAGCAGCTCATTAATTTCACCCTCTTCAATGTCAAGGAATTTAAAGTCCATCCGTTTTGCAGACTCTACGATTTTTGCAACTTCTTCATTAGCTCTAGGGAAACACGCATAATCATTCACAACATCATCCCAAAGTTTCCACCAGGCTTTATTAAGAGCAGCCGGTTTTATATCATCCATTGCCTCTTTTATCACTACCAAAGCATCAGCAATGTTGTACTGTTGCCATGTTTCTTTCAAAGTAAGACAGGGGTTTTTTTCAATACAGTCAGCAAAGTGGTCAAACATATGCTTAGTGTAATACCTCCTGAATGCTTCAATTATACCCTGGTCCAAGGGCTGAAGATAGCTAGTGCCTTCCAGAGGGAGGAACACAATATCAACATTAGGATGAGCAAAGAATAATGAGTCTGGGTGATTGGGACCTCTGTCCAGAATTAGCAACACTCTGAACTCAAGATTTTTTTCTATTAAATAACTCCGGGCCTGATGGATAAAACAATTATGAAACCAATCCAAAAAGAGGGCAGCAGTTAATGATACTTTGGGGTGTGATCGCCAGAACACAGGAAGGCGGTTTTTATCTTTTTCCAAAAGACAAGTGGGATTGGGGTCTTTATAAAGCAGCAAGGGCTTTATCATTTTGTCACCGGCGGCGTTGGCACAAAAAATGAGGGAAATCCTGTCCTTAGCTTCCTCTAAGCTTTCGGGATTTTTGTCTTTTTCCCTAAAAGTACGTGAAGGCATGCACTTCCAAAACAGGCTCATCTCCTCGGCGTTGAAGACCTGTTGAGGCACGTAGCCTCTGGCTCTGATCAGTCTCTGCAGTTGTTTGGAATACTTGGGTGCCGACTGGGCATTCAGGGGTTCTTCCTCCCCCATCAACCTCGAATTTCGCAGACTGTAGCGATTTCTAAACTTCTCAAACCATCCCTTGCTCGCATGAAACTTATCCGGGTTGCCGTTGCCAGTGGTTTCGACCAGCTGCTTGTAAATGCGTTTGGCCTGGCTGCAGATGGCCTTCAGCGTCAGAGGCCGGCCCCCTATGGTCTGGTCCTCCACCCAGAAGGTTAACTCGGTCTCCATCTTCTCGATGTTTACGTCACGGGGAATGCACAGCACCTTGGAGGACACGGGCGAAACACTCTCCATGCTGGCCCTGATGGCCTTCTCGTTTTTCTTAATGGTGCGCACGGTCGACTCGTTGACGCCAAACAGGCGCCCCACGTCGGTGTTACTCACGCCTTCTTCCAGCTTCTCGAGAATTTTCATCTTGTCTTCCAGAGGCATGACCCTCCGCCTCCTCTTGATTCGTGTCTGGCCCGGAAGCAGGATGCCCATAGCCTCCGCGCCGCCGGGGGTGGCCTCGGCCGCTGCCCAAGCCGCGGCGGCCTCCACCACCGCCGCCCTCGCCGCAGCCGACAGCCTGGCTTTGGGACCGGGCGGCCGCCCGCGAGGCCGTTTAACCTTCTGTGGGTCCTCATTGTCACCACTCCGCTTGCCGGGCATCTGACGCGCCTTCGCTCTCTGCGGGAAATACGCAAGCCGACCGGAAAGTCGGCCTCCGCGACCCACCAAGCGGCGCCCACGATGACACCCGGCCGCAACCCCGTAACCACCGGCGACAGTTGGCCCGGCCCGTGACGGCCTCCGTCTCGCGAGGCTTGGCGGCCCCGCAGCGCGCGCGCTGCCCGCCCGCCCCCACATTGCTATTGGTGCGGCCGGGGCAGCTCGCAGTCCCGGCGGAAACCCCGCGAAGGGAGGCTGCGCCCCGCAAATCTCGCGAGGCTCGGAGCGGCGCGCCGGGAGCCGGCAGCCGGGAGCCGGGAGCCGGCGGAGCCGCGAGCCGGGGCGGGGGGGGCACGATGGCGGCCCAGGCGCTAGCGCTGTTGAGGGAGGTGTCGCGACTGGAAGCGCCGCTGGAGGAGCTGCGCGCGCTTCACTCGGTGCTGCAGACCGTGCCGCTCAGCGAGCTCCGCGAGTTAGCGGCCGAACTGCGCCTCGGCCCGCTCTTCTCCCTGCTCAACGAGAACCATCGGTGAGACGACCCCAAGCATGGAGACGAGGGTGGCTGGGAGGAGGGGAAGGGTTCTCCCCAGTCGCAGGGAGGGTAAAGAAGTCGCTGACGCTTTAGCGGGAGGGACCCTGGGTCGCGAGGCCAGACACGGCGCTCAGGTCCAGCCTCCGAGTTGTGTGCCCCTGGCCGTCGCCCGGCCTCACTGCCTCCATCCTTGAAATAGGAATTGGAGAGGGAGAGCGAGGTTGCCCACCTAGAAGGAGGCTCCGCAGTCCCGTGTGCGGGTTCGTGACTTTCTTTCCTCTTAAGAATGGGTCCTATCCTGGCAATTTGACAAGGTCCACCCACATTCTGAGTTCACGTATCTTTTGATCCGTAGGCATGGAACAGGCAGGTATGCTCGCACTCAAAATGTCCTGTATACAGAGAAAGCTGCATAACAGAAGGTGACAGCAAAAAACTAGAAACAACCTAAATATCCATTAGAAGGGGTTGGAAAGAAATTATGACACATTACTACTGTGTAACCCTGTGCAGCTAGTAGAAGAATTGAGGTAGATCTATGTATGTGGACATGGAAGAATCTCTTAATATATCTTGTTGAATGAAAAAGGAAAATTGTAGGAGTTTGTGATTCCATTATGTGTAATGTTTTTGAGGATTTCAATCGCCGTCCCCCCTCCCCACTACACAGACTAGTAGAACACTGATAATATCTGAAAGGTACAGCAGGAACTGTTAAAGCAGAAGTGGGACTTAGGATGGCAACTTTTTTCATTTTATGCACATCTGTACTGTTTGATTAAAAAGCACTTTGTATAAGTACCGCGGGCTAACCGATTGCGCCACTGGAGCTCCTAATTTTACAAATGTTTTGTGATCCAGAAATGTAAAAGTGATCCTTCTACTTGAAACGATAAAAAAATCTTAACTAGATCAACACTGGGTGATTTCAGGGGGCTTTCTTGGCTATATCCTTCTGAGATTCCTCCCTTTTTTATACATGTTCTGCTTCATTAAATCCATTAGTTAACAGTATCCGGTTCTGCCTATGAAATCTCTCTTTTCTGTCCTCTCTAATTCAGGCCCTCATTTTCTCCCTCTTGCTGGGTCTCTTGCTATTAGTCTGACTCACTACCTTTAAGCTTCTTTGTCCAGCACGTTCTTCCCACACAGCAACCAGTTAACTTCTTGGGTTATTTGTCTCAAATCTTTGCCATCGTTTCCCATTGTCTACAGTATGAAATTATGACTTCTTTTTCTGGCATTTGGGCCGGTACAGTATATTTCCATCCTACTTTTCCAGCCTCATCTTTTCCCTCCACTCCTCTACAGATATTTCATCTGCTTCAGCTACCATGTGGCACATTTACTTTCCCTTGAGCATGACTTGGCACTTTCCTAATTTGTTCATGCATGTCCTTCTAACTGAAATGCCCTCCCTCTCTCCAAATTCTTCCATTCTTGAAAGCCCAGGTAAAGTGCTGTCACCTCCAAAAAGTCTCACTTGGCCACTCCAGTTTCAAGTGACTGGTCCTCAGATCTCCTGAGAGGCATTATCATTATTTCTGTTAATGATATTTGACATTGTTGCATTATATTATAGTTCTTTATGTGTTTACTTCTGGTTTGAAAATCCTTTGAATGCAGGGGACGTATTTTGTTCATCTCTGCATCCCTCTTAGGGTGTAGCACATAGTACAATATATGCCAAATAAAAGATTAGACTCATAAATTTTAAAGAGGCCACCTAGTCCAACCACTTTATATCAGGGATGAAGAAAATTTCAAAAGTCATAACCTAAATTAACACCAGAGATACAGTAGGAGCTGAAATGAATGGGAGTTTGAAGAGTAAGGTCTATGGGGGATGTGTTTTGCCTAATGAAGGAGCAGTGCTCTAGGCAACAATTTTAATGGAAATTTAAAAACAGGGTAATTCAGAACTGGGTACATAGGAGATATCAATTGCAATTTGTGAGAATAATTCTTCTGCAGATAGTAGATTGGCAGTCTCTAGATCTAGTTCTATTATCCTGGCAAAACCAGGCTGCTATATATTGGTTCAGAATCTGATCTAATAGATGTAAATCTAGAATCTTGACAGGAGTTTTTGTGATAGAAAGTAAGTCCTAAGATTATTGCTTTACAATATGGAGATTGATTGTAAATTATTAACTCTTTGGCTTTTTACTATAAAGGGCTACATGTGATCTGAAATTTATGCACTATACAGTTTAACCTATGGCTGCTTTTTTTAAAAAAAATAGCCTTATTGAAATGTAGTTTGCATAAAATAAACTGCACATAATAAACAATTTGAGGGGCGCCTGGGTGGCTCAGTTGGTTAAGCGTCTGCCTTCAGCTCAGGTCATGATCTCAGGTCCTGGGATTGAGCCCTGCATCTGGCTCCTTGCTCAGCAGGGAGCCTGCTTCTCCCTCTGCCACTCCTGCTTGTGCTCTGTTGCTCTCTCCCTGTCAAATAAATAAATAAAATCTTTAAAAAACTACACAATTTGACAGGTATTGACATACTGACATATGTATACACCCATGGAACCATCACCACAGTCAAGATAGCAAAGATATCTCTTACCCCCAGAAGTTTCCTTGTAAACCCTTTCCACCTCAGCCAGGCAACCATTGATCACTATAGATGAGTTTGCCTTTTTTTTTTTTTTAAGATTTTATTTATTTATTTGAGAGAGAGAGAATGAGAGACAGAGAGCATGAGAGGGAGGAGGGTCAGAGGGAGAAGCAGACTCCCTGCCGAGCAGGGAGCCCGATGCGGGACTCGATCCCGGGACTCCAGGATCATGACCTGAGCCGAAGGCAGTCACTTAACCAACTGAGCCACCCAGGCGCCCTTGCCTTTTTTTTAAAAAAAGAGTTTTATATAAACGGAATCCTATAGTATGTACTCTGGTCTCTTTCACTCATCATAATTATTTTAAATTTTTCCATGTGGTGTGGATGAATACTTCATTTCTTTTTGTTGCTGAATAGTAGTCCCTTGTATAGATGTACCACATTTGTTTTCGGTTTTCCTGCTGGTGAACATTTGAGCTGTCTTCAGTTTGACTCTATTACAAATAATACTGCTATGAACGTTTGTGTACAAGTCTTTACACAGACATATTCTTTTCTCTTTGAGTTAATACCTAGGAGTGAAATGGCTAGATCATATGGCAGGTGTATATTTAACTTTTTAAGAAACTGTCTAACTGTTTTCCAAAGTAATTGTACCATTTTACATTCCCACCAACAGTGTATGAGAGATTATAGGCCTAAATATAAAACCTAAAACTATAAAACTTCTAGAAGAAAACCTGGGAGAGAATTTTTATGACCTTGGATTGAACAAAGATTTCTTTGGTGTGACACCAAAAGCGTGATCCATAGAAGGAAAAATTGATAAATTGGACTTCATCAAAATTAATCTGCTCTTCAAAGGCCACAGTTAAGAGAATAAAAAGGCAAGTCACAAATGGAGAAAAATCTTTGCGAAGAGTGTATCTGATAAAGGACTTGTATTCAGAATATATAAAGAGCTTTCAAAATTCAGAAACAAGAAAAGTATCCAATTTAAAAATGGGCAAAATATTTGAACAAGAAGATACAAGGATGGCAAATAAGCACATAAAAAGATACTCAATGTCATTAGTCATTAGGGAAATGCAAATTGAAATTACAATAACAAAGCAATTCAAGTATCTACCAGCAGATGAATAGATAAAGTGTGGTATATACATACAATGGAGTATTATTCAGCCTTAAAAAGAAAGGAACTTCTAACACATGCTACAACGTGGAGGAAACTTGGAGACACCATTCTAAGTGAAATAAGCCAGTCACAAAGGACAATATTGTATGATTCCAATTAGATGAGGCACCAAGGGTAGTCACATTTAGAGAGAGAGAAAGTAGAATGGTGGTTACTAGGGGCTCAGGGGAGGGGAGAATAGGAAGTTACTGTTTAACAGATACAGAGTTTGGGGCACCAGAGTGGCTCATTGGGTAAGTGTCAGCCTTCGGCTCAGGTCATGATCCTGGTGTCCTAGGATCCAGCCCCGTGTTGGGCTCCCTGCCCAGCGGGGAGTCTGCTTCTCCCTCTCCTTCTCTCTCTGCCCCTACCCCCTGCCCATGCTCTCTCGTACTCTTGCTAGCAAATAAATAAATGCATCTTTAAAAAATAGATACAGAGTTTTCCATTTGGGAAGATGAAAAAGTTCTAGAGATGGTTGATGGTGATGGTTGCACGACAATGTGAATGAACTTTAATGCACAGAACTGTACATTTAAAAAATGGTTAAAATGGTAAATTCCATGGTATATCCAGTCACAGTTTTTTTAAAAAGGAAAAGAAATCCATATCCATTAACAGTCCTTCCTCCACCTTCCTCCTCTCTGTCCCTCCCCTAGCCCTGACAACCAGGAATTTGCTTTCTGTCTCCATAGATTTGTCTGTTCTGGACATTCATATAAATGGAATCATCATCAAAAGGAAGCTTTTTATGTCTGGCTTCTTTCACTTAGCATATTTCCACATTTTATCCATGTTGTATAATATTCCATTGGATGGATAAAATTGGGTTGTGTTTATCCATTCATTAATTGATGGGACATTTGGGTTGT